CCTTCAAATTTTGCGGCTTTCTCGTGTCCGTACTCTGTTCAGTGAATTTAACTTTTCTTTCTATATTTATATGATAATTAAAAATTAAACTTGTAAAAGATGCATAAGACATGAAGTAACGTGATGAGCATTAGAGTCACTTAGAAATGGTGCTGCAATTTGACAGCTAAATATTCCTTCATTTTGAGCTTAGCGAAGTCAAACAACTTAGCTCAAACATCGTTCCATAATCAAAGTCTATTTAGGTACCTAATACACAAGTTTTGACTTTATATAGATCTGGTAGAGTCTCCCATCTTCTTGAGAGATATATGAGACATATCGCATGAGAGGATATTGATAATGTTGATCATGAAACTTACAATGAGATTATTAGGAGTATTGATTCTGGGAAGTGAAAAGAAACTATGAATTTTTTAGATTGATTCCATGTACTTCAATAAGATTTGAAACCTAGTTGATGCACCCGAGGGTATTATACCCATTAGTTGTAAGTGGATCTTCAAGAAGAAAATCAAAGTAGATAGAAAAATGAAGACCTATAAAGCAAGGCTAGTGGCTAAGGGGTATTATCAAAGACAAGGTGTTGACTATGACGAAACCTTCTCATGCGTTGCCATACTAAAATCCATCCGAATTTTGTTGGTTATTGCAGCACACTATGATTATGAGATCTGACAGTTGGATGTGAAAACCACGTTCCTCAACGACAACCTCGAGGAGGGGGTGTATATAATACAACCTAAGTGATTCCTGTCCAAAAAAAATCCAAATAAGGTGTGTAGATTACTTAGGTCCATCTATGGAATGAAGTAAGCTTCCCGAAGTTGGAACATAAGATTTGATGAGACGATCAAATCTTATGACTTCGTTAAGAACGAAGATGAGCCTTATGTGTATAGGAAGTTAAGTAGGAGCGCTATCACTTTCTTGGTGCTATATGTGGATGACATCCAGATTATTGGTAATGCTCTCTATAGTAAAGGCTTGGTTATATCGACATTTCTCCATGAAGGACTTAGGGGAAGCATTCTATATCTTGGAGATTTGGATCTATAGAGATAGATCCAAGAGGATGCTTGGCTTGTCCCAGTCCATGTACATAGACACCATTATCAAAATGTTTGACATGAAAAATTTCAAGAGATATCTCATACCAATAAGACATGAGATATCACTTTCTAGAAGTTTGTCTCCAAAGACTCTTGAAAAAAGGGTAGACATGGATAAGATACACTATGCCTCAGCGATAGGGTTTATCATGTATGCTATGTATGCTATATACCTGACCTGATATAGCATATGCTCTGAGTGTCATGAACAAGTATCAAGCAGATCCAGACTTGGATCACTAGAAAGTAGTAAAGTATATCCTCAAGTACTTGAGAATGACTAAGAATCTTTTACTAGTATATGGAGGTAGTAGCCTCAGGGTTGAGCACTACACGGACTTGAGTTTCCAATTCGATATCGATAACAACAAGTCTAATTCAGGGTATGTGTAGCAATATGCTAGAAGAGTTCCAAGCAAGATACTATTGTTGACTCAACCACAGAGACGGAGTATATTGCTGCGTTAGAGGCAACAAAAGAGAGAGTTTGGATGAAGAAGTTCATCACAGATTTGAGAGTTATGTCGAGTAGCAAGGAGTCAATTCCTTTACATTGTGACAACTACAGGGTAATTGCTCAAATGAGGGAACTTGAGTCTCATTAGAAGTGTTTTGATGAGGTTCTAACTTATTAGATAGATCGTGGCCCGAGGAGATGTAGTAGTAGAAAAAGTTTTATCCGAAGATAACATCGTTGATCCATTGATAAAGCTATTATCTCTTATTGTCTTTGAGCATCACAGAGGTCTGATAGGTTTTGGACATGTACGAGGAGATGTAATAGTGGAAAAAGTTTCATTCGAAGATAACATTGCTGATCCATTGATAAAGCTATTATCTCATATTGTCTTTGAGCATCACAGGGGTTTGATAGGTTTTGGACACGTAGGTGATTAGCTTTAGGTCAAGTAGGACATTGCTAGTCATTGGTGCCTTACAAACCACGACTGTTTACTTGATCAGAATCGTTCCTCGTCTTCACAACATTTTGACGGACGACAAAACGTGGTTTAACGTTCCCACATTTGCATTGCTGTCATGGACGGATGCGTCGCACGAAATGAGTATCTTGTTTACCATCTTATCTTTTGGTATGTTGCCTTTACATTTTTCAATTCGAATGGCGGGATTCAGTAATAATACATGCCTTAGTAAGTGATAAAGAAAGTGTGTTCTCGATCCTCTAGTGCCATCCTTATTTGTTTATATCCCGAAAATACATCCATAAAGGTGAGGAGCTCATGACTCAAGGTAGTGTCTACAAACAGATCAATGCAGGGAAGAGGATAGTTGTCCTTCGAGCATGTCTTATTGAAGTCAGTATAATCAACACACATCCTCTACTTTTCATTAGATTTTTTAACGAGTACAATATAGGCGAGCCATTAGGGGTACTACACCTCGGTAATAAACCATACTCATAATAACTTGTCTATCTCTCTATCGATAGACGACCGGCAATTAGGAGAAAACTTACAAAGCTTTGTTTTTTTAGTTGTGCCTTCGGAGAAATGTTTAGGTAGTCCTAGGCTATGCTTAGGTCAATTTCTAACATATCTTTTGATGACTATGTGAACACCTCAACATTCTTCCAAAGGAAATTAATAAGTTGCACTCGTTTTTCCTCAGGAAGTGTTGCCCTGACCTTAATAACTTAATCGAGATGGATTTATCTAGGATGCCTCAATCAATGATTCCATTGGCTCTGGGTGAGAGAGGGATTTGGCGAAACTTTGGGAGTCCATAGTTGGTGCCTCGGATTGTATCTTTTTCGGTAGGGATACTGTCGTAAGATAATTTCTGGGTATTCTATTTCTCTCTCTTTGAAAGTAATCTGTGAGTGTTTTTCAATAGTAGTTTGGGTGTAATCTTCCCGACCGATGAGTCATTTTCTCCTTAGATGGATCCAGCAATGATGATGTTAATGAATCTCTCCGTCGACCCTTGAAGTCGCGGTGAAGTTTCCTGATGCTTTCGCATGAACTATTTGAAGTATTAACATTAAATGAGTTCTTTAATTTATTCTTTTAAGTCACGGCCAGAATGATCTA